TGGGATGTTCCCATTCTCACGCCCCGTTTTTGGGATGTTCCTATGCCCATGGCCCATTTTTGGGCTCTCCCTGCTCCTGGCCCACGCCGTGCCCGTTCTGGGATGCCCATTTTTGGGGTGCCCATTTTAAGGTGCCCGTTTTGATGAGCCCATTTTGGGGTACCCATTTCAGGGTGCTCATTTCAAAGTGGCTGTTCCAGGGTGCCCATTTTGAGGTGCCCGTTTCAAGGTGCCCATTTTGAGGAGACCATTTTGGGGTGCCCGTTTTGAGGTGCCCATTTTGGAGTGCCCGTTCCATGGTGCCTGTTTTGAGGTGTTGATCTCAAGGTGCCCATTCAGGGTGCCTATTTTGGGGTGCCCGTTTTGAGGTGCCCATTTCAAGGAGCCCATTTTGGGGTATCTGTTTTGAGGTGCTGATCTCAGGGTTCCCATTTCAAGGTGCCCATTCCAGGGTGCCTGTTTTGGGGCGCCCGTTTTGAGGTGCCCATTTCAAGGAGCCCATTTTGGGGTGCCTGTTTTGAGGTTTCCGATCTCAGGGTTCCCATTTCAAGGTGCCCATTTTGAGGTGCCTGTTTTGGGGTGCCCGTTTTGAAGAGCCCAATTCAGGGTGCCCATTTCAAGGTGCCCATTCCAGGGTGCCTGTTTTGAGGAGCCCATTTCAGAATGCCCATTTTGGGGTGCCTATTTCAAGGTGCCCATTTTGGGGTGGCCATTCTGGGGTGCCCATTTCAGGTTGCCCATTTCGAGGTGGCCATTCTGGGGTGCCCATTTCAGGTTGCCCATTTCGAGGTGGCCATTCTGGGGTGCCCATTTCATGTTGCCCATTTCGAGGAGCCCATTTTGGGGTACGCATTTCAAGGTGCAAGCTCTGCGGTGCCTGTTTTGGGGTGCCCACTCAAGGTGCCCGTTTTGGGGTGCCCGTTCCAGGTTTTGGGGTGCCCGTTTTGGGGCTGACCGTGCAGGTGGTGAGCAGCCAGCCGATGATGGCCCAGCGGGGCAGGATGTCGGAGCTCAGCACCTCGTTGGAGGGGTGCACCACGCCGCAGATGTAGCGGATCAGGTCGCAGCGCAGGGACTGGCTGTCGGGCGTGGACAGGTACTGCCGCTGGAACCAGTCCTGGTAGCGCTTCTGCTGCCCGAACCGCACCTGGGGACAGGCGGGGCTGGCACCGAGACAGGGACAGGGACAGGGACAGGAGGGGCTGGCACTGGGGACAGGATCAGGGACAGGGACAGGGACAGGGACTGCCGCTGGAACCAGTCCTGGTAGCGCTTCTGCTGCCCGAACCGCACCTGGGGACAGGCGGGGCTGGCACCGGGCACCAGGACAGGGACAGGGACATGGGACAGGGCTGGCACTGAGGACAGGATCAGGGACAGGGACATGGGACAGGGCTGGCACCGGGACAGGGACACGGACAGGGACAGGCGGGGCTGGCACTGGGGACAGGGACAGGGACTGCCGCTGGAACCAGTCCTGGTAGCGCTTCTGCTGCCCGAACTGCACCTGGGGACAGGTGGGGCTGGCACCAGGACAGGGACACGGACAGGGACAGGGCTGGCACTGGGAACAGGGACAGGGCTGGCACTGGGGACAGGATCAGGGACAGGGCTGGGGACAGGGACAGGTACTGCCGCTGGAACCAGTCCTGGTAGCGCTTCTGCTGCCCGAACCGCACCTGGGGACAGGCGGGGCTGGCACCGGGCACAGGGACAGGGCTGGCACTGGGGACAGGATCAGGGACAGGGACAGGGGACAGGGCTGGCACTGGGAACAGGGACAGGGACAGGAGACAGGGCTGGCACTGGGAACAGGGACAGGGACAGGGCTGGGGACAGGTACTGCCGCTGGAACCAGTCCTGGTAGCGCTTCTGCTGCCCGAACCGCACCTGGGGACAGGTGGGGCTGGCACCGGGCACCAGGACAGGGACAGGAGACAGGGCTGGCACTGGGGACAGGATCAGGGACAGGGACAGGAGACAGGGCTGGCACTGGGAACAGGGACAGGAGACAGGGCTGGCACTGGGAACAGGGACAGGGACAGGCGGGGCTGGCACTGGGGACAGGGACAGGTACTGCCGCTGGAACCAGTCCTGGTAGCGCTTCTGCTGCCCGAACCGCACCTGGGGACAGGTGGGGCTGGCACCGGGCACAGGGACAGGGGACAAGGACAGGGATGGCACTGGGGACACCACAGGACTACCACTGGGGACAGGAACAGGGCTGGGGACAGAGCTGGCAGTAGGGACAGGGCTGGAAATGGGGACACGGACAGGGACAGGGCTGGTAGTGGGGACATGCAGGATCCTGAGCCGGGGGGATTTGGGAGGGAATCTACTGGGAATTTGGGATGGAATCCATTGGGAATTCAGGAGGGAACCCAGGGGGAACTGGGGTTGGAATCCAGGGGGAATTGGGGATGGAATCCAGGGGGAATTCAGGAGGGAACCCAGGGGGAATTTGGGAGGGAATCCATTGGGAATTCAGGAGGGAACCCAGGGGGAATTTGGGAGGGAACCCAGAGGGAATTTGGGAGGGAATCCAGGGGGAATTTGGGAGGGAACCCAGGGGGAATTTGGGAGGGAACCCAGGGGGAATTTGGGAGGGAACCCAGAGGGAATTTGGGAGGGAACCCAGGGGGAATTTGGGAGGGAACCCAGGGGGAATTTGGGAGGGAATCCAGGGGGAATTCAGGAGGGAACCCAGGGGGAATTTGGGAGGGAACCCAGAGGGAATTTGGGAGGGAATCCAGGGGGAATTTGGGAAGGAACCCAGGGGGAATTGGGGAGGATCCCAGGGGGAGTTACCCGCGAGGTCATGAAGAGCAGCTTGGTCTCCATGTCGGGGGTGAGGCGGCACGCCAGGAACTTGCGGGAGGTCCTGGACTGCAGGAGCTGCAGCACACCTGGGCAGGGACAGGCAGAGGGGTTTTGGGTGGAAAAGGGCTCAAACATGTCCTGAGCAGCTGCCCTGAGGTGTTCAACAGAATTTAACCCGGCTCCAAAGGGGTGGGAACACTTCCAAGCCCCATTTCCCTGGAATTGCTGCATCTAGAACCTGCTGGGAAGCGCCCAGAGAAGGGAATAATTTATAGGAATATCATTAATGTAAATAAAGCTGGGGAATCCATCACTCTTCCCACAGAACGAGGCTACTGGGAGGAATTAAATCCCATGGAAGTGCCACTCGCTGCAGCTCCTGGAATTCCTGCTTTTTATGGAGCTTCTCCAGGCTCTGCTCAGCCACTTCGGAGTTTGGGCTCAGCTTTTAAATCACTTAACGAAGGGAAGTAGTCCTGATTATCCTGGAACTGCAGGCTGGTTTGGGTTGGAATCACCCAGAGATTACCCAATCCACAGACAGGGACAATTCCCACTGGATCAGGCCGTTCCAACCCAGCTTGGAACAATTCTAGGGCCGAGAAACTACGGAAGCGTGGAGCCCAGGAGGAGCAGCACCATTTAAGGATCCCACGAGGTTTTTCTGGGATGGGTCAGGCCCGGATGCCTCCGAGGCCTCTGCAGCACTGGAAAACCCCTGGAAAACGCTGCGGGGCGAGCACAGGGAATGTTCCAGGCCCGGTACCTGTGAACTGGGAGCTGAGCACCTGCGGGTTGTGCAGGATGTCCTTCCAGAGCTGCTCGAACTCCGGGATCCGCGCCACGTTCTGCAGCAGCCGCACCAGGTCCCGGCCGATCATGAAACAATCCATGAACTGGGGAGAAAGGGGCAGGGAAATGTGGAATTCCCAGGAGAATCCCGGCCGGAGCAGGGGGATGGGAGCAGGGAAGGGAGGAACGCCCCGCGCTGCCGCCTCCCCGGGCACGTTCCGCTCCGTTCCCCGCTGGAAGGCGCAGGTTGGGATGGGGGGGACAGGCAGGGAAGGTTGGAAGCTATTTTGGAATGTTCTCCCTCCCAAAGCAAACAAGCAGCCCAGAAATCCCATAAATCTGCCACCTTCCCCTGGCGCCGCAGCCGGGAGCCGGGGGGATGGGGAATGGGCAGGATTTGGGATAAATCCCAGAAGTTGGGATAAATCCCAGCTCTGGGGGGTCTCCTGCTCCACCCAGAGCCAAACGAGGCCTGGAGCTGCTGCCGAGCCCCCATCCCAAACTGCCCTTCCCAGGGGAACAGGATCCCAGCCCAATCCACCGCTCCTGGAGCAGGATCTCATTCCCATCCCATCCCAATCCCAATCCACTGCCCTGCTCCTGGAGCAGGGAGATGCAGGATCCCATTCCCATTCCCGTCCCATCCCAATCCCAATCCAGTGCCCTGCTCCTGGAGCAGGGAGATGCAGGATCCCATTCCCATCCCATCCCAATCCCACCCCACTCACCCTCACCCAGAACAGGGAGACACAGAACTCCATTCCCACTCCCAATCCCATTCCCAATCTCTCACCCTCTCCCGGAGCAGGGAGACGCAGAACTCCAATCCCATTCCCAATCCCACTCCCACTCCCACTCCCACTCCCACTCCCACTCCCATTCTCATTCCCAGTCTCACCCTCTCCCGGAGCAGGGAGACGCAGAACTCCAATCCCATTCCCACTCCCACTCCCACTCCCACTCCCATTCCCATTCCCAGTCTCACCCTCTCCCGGAGCAGGGAGACTCAGAAGTCCAATCCCATTCCCAATCCCACTCCCACTCCCACTCCCACTCCCACTCCCACTCCCACTCCCACTCCCATTCCCAGTCTCACCCTCTCCCGGAGCAGGGAGACGCAGAAGTCCATTCCCACTCCCACTCCCAATCCCACTCCCACTCCCACTCCCATTCCCAGTCTCACCCTCTCCCGGAGCAGGGAGACGCAGAAGTCCAATCCCATTCCCATTCCCATTCCCATTCCCATTCCCACTCCCATTCCCAGTCTCACCCTCTCCCGGAGCAGGGAGACACAGAAGTCCAATCCCATTCCCAATCCCATTCCCACTCCCATTCCCATTCCCAGTCTCACCCTCTCCCGGAGCAGGGAGACGCAGAAGTCCAATCCCATTCCCACTCCCACTCCCATTCCCATTCCCAGTCTCACCCTCTCCCGGAGCAGGGAGACGCAGAAGTCCACCTCCTTCTGCCGCAGCGCCTGCAGCGCGGCCGTGCCGTGGTGGTCCACGATCAGCCGCAGGTAGGTGTACACGGCCATGGCCACCAGCAGGCTGCTCTTCAGCACCCACTCCCTGAAAACCCCAAATCCGCCCCAAAATCAGCCCCGGCACCGGCGCTCTGTGGGACCGGCCTCTGGGAACGGCGGGAA